TTTACAACACCAGCACTAAAGAGGAGGCCAGGGCAGGAAAATCAGTAGTTTCAAGCCAGCTTAGGATACATAGCAAGTTTCAGGTTGGCTGTAGAGACAAAACCTTGACTTAAAACAACAAAAAACAAAAAGCCACATTAGTATACCTTAATCCTTTATTGTGTTCCAATGCATTATGCCAGCATTCAGTCAAAGAAACAGGTTGTTTTCCAAAATTGGTTCTCTTCTAAAGGTTAAAATCTGCAATAAAAATGTCATGTATTATTATATGAAGACACACAATAGATAGAAATATCTCTTGTAGTCCTAGTTCATCTCTGAACAGAGTTAAATCTTGAAAATAACCGTCTTGCAACACTTAAGAACCTCTACTATGAAAATGTTTTTCGAACAGAAAATAACTTGATTAAGAACACCTGTGATATGCATTATCACCCAAAGCCTCTTAAAACAAATCAGATAAGTTTCTGCTTTCATTTCCCTCTATGACATTCATTTTCAAAGCAGCATGGATGAGTATGCATATGCAGGTAGCTTTGAAAGGACTAAGGAAGATTATTCTTTGTGTTTCTAAAATCCATATAGCCTAAAAACTATGCAAGGGTTATGGATAAAATTCGACTATCCTTCCCCTAAAATTACTAAATGAATCAATGATGACAAATTATCATTATTCTCTACTTCAGTCACGCTATGCCTGAGTGGACATTTCCAAATATTTTAATATTACAGTTCTAACCAATTTAAAAATTTTTAAATGGACCACTACTACACTAGCCTTTTAATGCTTCCAAACAGAGGTGAAATGCAACTTCATTTTTCTTTTTCTTTTTTATTGTTTCACTTTTCTGGATCTTAATGACTTAACTGATAAGAAATACATTAAAATATCAAATTATTAAATTACTAAAGAGATAAATGTACTATATATGAATCATAATGCTTTGTGGGAGTTTTCTAGTAAGAGCGAAAACCAAAAGTCCCTTTATTCCTCTGTTGCTAAATTTTGTTTAATGGGAAAAATAAAAACTCCACACCATCTTATGTCTAAGAAACACCAGTTCAAATATGTTATCTTCAAAAATTAAAGAATTTTTTGCATAATATTTTTCAAAATATAAAGATATTTTTAATATTTGAGTGCCTTGAAATATAGGATCATAAATTTAAAATGCAAAGAAAATGACAGAAAATTAAATGTTAAACTTTAAAATAGTAATATGTTTTGAAATAATATAAAAATACTAGATACAAAAGAGGTTTGGATACAAAATCTAATGTATAGGATTAAAAGAAAAATCTCCAAAAGTAAAACTCAAATCTATTATAGTTTACTATTTATGCTTGGAAAATATCACAAATCTTTCCTGTGTAACCTTTCTTTGATGAAATAAGATGGGTTTAAATAAAAGCACACTAAATCACAACTTCAAAAAAAGTATTAAGAATAAAATACACACACACACACACACACATTTACTATTAACTCCATTATTTGAAACCTGCCTCAAAGAAAAGTCCTTTAAAACATCTTTTATACAGGCAAGAAAAAATAAGCAAAAAAGTTTCCTACCTGAAAGTGTTATTTATATAATTTATGAGCATTTGTACATACTAACAATCAGATATTGTATTAGCAATAAATTTTAAAATAGACATCACGTTTAAGACAAACCATCAGTTTTAAAGTTCTAATATTGTAACCTCTTAAAATAAAATGTGTAATCTCATTTTCAACACTTAGTTGAAATAAAGTGGTATTTTATTACTGATTTCCTTTGGTTTTATGAGATTTGAGACCACAAAGTTACAGCAAGCCCTACTTTGAAATCTAATTATATGCCAAAATTAATTGCAAAGAGTACAAAGTGTTTCTAAGTTTGTGCAATTAAAAAATAAAAAGGACAAACTATGTATAGCCATACAAGTTTTTCTAAAATGTGTTGTCCTAATTACAATCATGTTAATTATCTGGTTCTCATAAAGGGGGTTAAAAAGAAATCAATGTAAAGATTAAGTGTCATTTAAACTAAAGAAAATAAAAAAAGACAAAAGCATCTTTAAGGTTGGAACCATTTTAAGGTTTGTGATTTTTATAAAATTTCCATAACTGTATCTTTATAATCTAATTGTCAAAGGCTTGCTGAAGAATTACTAAATTTTTTTCTTTCTGTGAACTCAATCAGCTGACTAATAGTTCTATACTAAAGGTTTCTTCAACATTCTTAATTGTTACTACACATATATAAACACCTGAATAACAGAAATAAAACTGTACACAGACTTCATGAAACCAAAACTAAAACACAGTACACAAGCGGGAAGGAAACATGGAATCTAGAATGTGAACACTACTTTGAAATTTTTATTCGTAAGTGTGGTTCCTGATAAACATTAAAAGATATACTAGTCTAATTGATACAAAAACCTTAGGCTACATTTTCTAAATGTACAATGAAGACAACGGTTTTTTTAAAAAGTCATCTAAAATCAGACTTTTAAGTGGAAATAGTAAAGAATAAATAAATGAAAAATCAATGCCACCAGGGAAGCTGGTACTTTTGTTCCCTGTCCCCTACAGTATGTAAATGTAGGACCAGGACAGCTATTGTAGCAGTATCATTCTTCAGTGCTATTTTCCTGTGGTAATAAATGACTTTTGCAGTCTTCACAACAGAACAGAAAATGAGAATAATCAATTTCTACAGAAAAACACAGATAAGTGCATATAAGCATTTAAATAAGTAGGTATATACCTACTGGAATTCTCCCTCCTGTCTAGCAGTAAAAGAGATATTTTGAATGTTGTGGAATTTATTTAGCTGCTAGTGTGTTCTAAAGCTTTAAGTGAATTAGTTTAAAAAAAGGACCAATCACTTCTTTCAAAAAGTTGGTAACACAAACAAAACAGAAGAAAAAAAACCCTCATTCAAAACACCCTCAAAACAAAACAAATTCCATAAACTAAAGTGTACGGTTTGGTGGAATATAAAGCTTTCCCCACTCCCATAATTCTCTCCCAGCTACATAATTTGAATAAAAATAAAAATTCATAAACCAACACGAAAAGCAAAGCAAAACTCATTAGCATTGGCACTTTAAATATAATTACATGTAGAAGAGAAACGAGATCTTTTACAATTTTATTAAGTCAAATTTTACAGATAATTTTATGAAAAGATTCAAAATAAACAGATTTAGAAAAAGGATCGCGGTTCTAGTAAAAATTATTATTATGAAAGTAATACAAAATAGAACGTATTTATTAATAGAAATTAAAATGTTTCATTTGGATATTTCTAATGTGCATTTGTCTTAAAGTGAAAACAGAAATCATGTCTCAACATTTCAAGAATTTATAAAATATAAAAATTTAAGAATTCCCTTCAAAATCATCTACTCTTTCAAAACCACATTGTCTGTTATCAAGATGCAACTAAAAGGAATGACAAGCAGGGGAATAAATATTGATGACTGTTTAAAGCAACACCAAACAAAAACTAACTGAAACCAACCAAATAAAGCAACACAAATGGACTGCTGTATACAACACACTTCCTCATAAAGAATTTGTCAGAGGACTATAATAATCTATCATATAAGCTCATCTGCATATACTTACCTGTTATATTAGCAATTAAGAAACATTAAAGTCTTGTAAATTAAAATTTTCAAGCCACTATAACGGCTGAGTTAGAAAAACATTTTAAAATAGTGCTGCAAAGTTTTAAGAATATACTTAACTTTTATGAAAAATGTAGAACAGATTAAAGTTTACTTTCAACAAAATGAAAGAAACACATTTTCCATAATCTGCATCCAATAAATACATGGTTAAGATGAAAAATTTCTATCAAGGGAAAAAAAAAACCAGTGTAGATCCTTTGGCGCAGTTTTCAACCAATGAACAGAGAGGAATAGGTCTTGTTAACTGCAACAGCAGAAAGTTTTCTGAAAATTGCTTCTTCAGTTTTACTTTTTAATACACATTTCAGAACCATCTGAAAGGCTTTATGGAAGAAACAACTCTATTGGGTACCAATTTTGTAAAAACAAAACAAAAAAACTACGTTTTTATTTTTCTGTGTCTATTTGAGTAGTTCTCTGAACAAACACAGTTTTTCCGTAGGTGGAGAATTATCAGCTCCTCGTTCCACATTCAAACCCCCCAGTCCCGCTCCCTTCCAGCCAATCAGGGGGTAAGAAGTGCGGCGGTGGGGAGCTCCGTTAGACACAATTTGAAAAACATCACATTGCGCTCTCACTCTCCTGGAAAGGGTCTAAATGAGGGCGGGTCCCCAGTCTTCACAGACAGATACCAAATCCTCGGTTCTGATCCAATTCCGCGGAGAGAAAGCTCTGCAGGGGGCCTGCCCGGAACAGAAACAGAACATCACCGGGGTTCCCAGGGAACCTTACTCCTCTCTGCGAATAACCGAGTAGCTGCTGCAAAAGCATCTCCAGAACGTTCGGAACCCAGACCCGGGCGACCCTGACGCAGAACGTCACATCAGCTCAGCAGCAAAGGGTTAATCTAGGGGTGCTCTGAGGGGGGAAGGGATCAAGATCTCCTGGGTGTTTAATGTGGACTCTTCACAAAGCCTAGTGCCTACCGAGTACCGACACTTAAAGCTGTCACTGGCTTCTTCAAGAGTTGCCGACTCCGGCTTGACAAAAAGCCAACAGCTACTAAGGAAAAAAAGAACCCCCTAAAGGGAACAACCCCGCTTTCTTCCGCCTCGGCGTCAAGAGTTCTCAAGAAAAGGTGAGACCTGCAAGAAGTTACCGTTAAGTCGTCGGGGCAAAAGGCTTGTCCGCCGGAGACACCGAGTTTCCCACCACTTTTCCTTGAGACGCGCGTTTCGGGGACCGGAGGTGGGGGGGAAGCCTCCTAAGCGCGCGACGCAAAGGAAATCGCAAGCTCCAAGCCCCATCTCTCCTCTCACCCCAGCCCCCTTCCCCCTCGAGGGAGGGGGTACCGCCGGCAGGGCAACGACGAAATGACCGAGCCGGTGCCCAGCATCTGTCCGCCGCGCCCCGACCCCGGGCCGGCCAGCGCCGCCTCTCCCGCGCGCCGCGCCGCGCACACCGGGCACCGCGGGGCAGCCGCCCCTCCCGCGCGCGACCCAAGGTTCCCGGCAGGAGACGGCCTTCGCCCGGCCGGCCGGCCCGAGCTCCGGGGAGGGGCGCGCCTGTCAGGAAGGCGCGGGCTCCGCGCCCCGGCCGGTGGCGGTGACAGGTCGGGCGGCGGCCGCTCGGCCGCGTCCCGCTCAAACTGCGCCTCCCTTCCCCCAGCGCCGCCGCTCCGCGCTCCCGCCCGTCAGCCAGGCGCCGCCCGCCCGCGGTGGACACCCGAGTGCCCCGGCCCCCTGGGGGTCCCCGCGATGGAAGTGAGGGCAGACAGAGCCCAGCGCCTGCACCCCTCACGGTCCGCCGTGCCCCCGCCGCCACCTCCGGAGATCCGCTCTGCCACCACTTCAGGCTCTTACCGTCTGCGCCAAACCCGGCGACGCCCCGTCGGCTGCCCTTCGGTTTGAAGTTGTGTTCTGGTGATTTCGGGGGAGGGGATTTTTTCGGCGCGATCCTGGCGTCGCGCTCCGCTCGGACAGGTCACCCCTTCCGTCCCGCTAGATTGATGAGATCAGGCATCACTCGAAAATGGCGCCGAAAGCGCTGAGGCTCCTCATTCAAATTCGTTAGAGCCAACCCCGCCGCCCCGGGGCATGCCGGGAACGCGGGCTGTCCCCACAGCTGTCTCGGCCGCACCCCCCTCCCGGCGACCCTGTTGCGCATGCGGAAAACTTCTACCCCCCCCCTTGCCCCATGCCCCGGCACATGCGCAGAGTCTTCGTGGCGCAAGGCTCTCCACTTCCTCGGTTCCAGTCCCCCGCGTCTTCCGCGGGCGTGTGTGCCAGCGTCGCCCTTGTGCCGCAGCGGAGATGTTCACCTTTCAGACACCACTCCGGGGGACACACAAGTTCTCTGCCTTTGAGAGGAAACAAATTAGGGTCCATCTTAAGCGTTTCGTGAAAAAAAAACAAAACAAACAAAAACCGCCCTTAAGTAGACTCCTAACCGCCGAGGGTGCCTCTGAGGCTCGCAGGGCTGCGCAGGAACTTAAAGCGCGCCGGGGTGGAGCCCTCGCCCTCCACCAGCGCCTCACAGATCTGTCGCACCTAAGCCTCGAACCACTTGACGAGGTAAGAACTTCACGGTTCGGTCGGACGACCAGTGCGCAGCTGTCACACCCGGAGTACCCGCGCCTCTCTCCTCCCTCCACACCCGGAGGCGCGCGACCCGCCCACCGTCTGCAAGCCTTCACCCGAGCTTTCGGTTCTGGTTTGGAGAAGTACAAGGTTTTGGACGTCTCTAGTGCTTTTCAAAAAAACACTTTTTTAATGGTGTAGTAAATTATGGATTCACAAAGATAGGCTTCCGTTGTATGAAGCCCCGAGAAAGTTGTAAGAGCTACCGGGTACTGAAACTATAGTGCCTACTCTATCAAGCGCTTTGCAGACTAGACGTTTTCACTGCCCACAACACCTCTATGAAGTAGATAGTATTTTTGTTTTACAGATGATACCTGATGTTCAGATTATAAGTGCTGCCGTCTTAACAGCTGGTGAGAGTACAGGAGCTAGGCAAACCGACTTTTCAAAGGGCTCTAACAGGACAAAAAAATAAGTTACTATTTTAACACTTTTCTTACAGAGCATCTTTTCATTATTTGCTTGCAAGATATCCTCCCTGCCACTTGGGTAATTAAGATGAAAAATTTAAAAAGAAAAACTGTCATTGCTCCTGAGTGACTACAGTTTAGGTTTATATTTAGTTACATTTTCTTTAATTCTCACGGATTTCTAAAAATTATTTTCTTTGTATGAGTGTTTTGTCTATACATATGTATGTGCATCCCATATGTGCCCTCAAATGTCAGAAGAGGGTGTGGATTCAATGGACTTGGAGGTTGGGTGGTTGTGATCCACTATGTGGGTGCTAAAACCAAGTCTGTCCTCTGCAAATCAGCAATTGCTCCTAACTACTGAGCCGTTTCTCCAGCCTTATCAAATGAATTTTTTTATAAGAACCCAACTGTTTAAAAACCAGGAATATTGACTGTGTTTGCTCTAGTTTTTATTATAAACAACTTGTGATGAATCATAACTTTAAAACTATCTTTTTATAGAGCTTAGGCTGGCCTAGAACTCAACTTTGTAGCCCACACTGATAATGTTCCTGCTTTATTACAGTGCCACTGCACCCCAAAGAAGTGTTAAAAACAGGAGACAGGAGAGCTCCTTAAGAACTGAAGAGTAAGGGAGTTGGAGATGGCTGCCATGGTTTGCATTATTGAGAAGTGACATGTTGAGCAGTGTTCCATTATCTACATTTTGCTCAGATGAAAATTTATGTGGCGATTTTTTAGAATATTTGTCCAATTTTGTTTAAAATCTTATGTAGCAAACCACAAATCCTTACTGAGTCATTAAAATGGGAGAAACCAAAATCTAGTCGCAGAGTTCTTGTGCCTGAACAGAAAGTCAGTGGGGAAAAATTACTTTCCACCACAAGAGGGTGCAAATTCCTGGGCTAAATTTCAGAGGGGAAAAAAAGTGATTTTATACGAGTCATCACCCTCATGAGTAAAAAACCTTGGAAGAATATCCAATTTGACCTTCACAGATACAAAACATGCTACCCCTTACCAGACTAGAGAGCCCCACTGTTCAGGTAGTATTTAGTATGTGGGTACCAGGGTGTAAATTCCCAGCTGTCTTCTAGAAAGGCTTAATCATCTGTGTCCTGTTCACTTCTTCCCACTCAGTTTTAGCCCTGTGTGCCCTTGTCATAGAGTAGAATCCAAGTCACATTTGAAATCTGAGGCTTTACTTTTGTAAACTAGAATGCAATTACCAGCAAATGAATGGTAAATGTAGATTATTTTTTTGGAATAAAAGTCTTGAAATGTCAGTGCCCCACACCAAAGGGGTGGGGGTGGGGTGGGATATACTGTTTCTAATGAGTAAGCTACAACTGATGAAATGCTGGCTTCAAAAAATTAACTTACTTAGTTAAAGCTGTAAAAACGTCATAACTCAAAAAGAAACAGACGCCAGAGTCAGAAAGCATTTTGAACAGTAACTTGAAAACAGAACACACAAGCAAGCTGTTTAAAAACTATTTAGCAGTTTGCAGTTTTCTTTCTTTCTTTCCATCCCCCGCCCCACAGGCTCTCACTGTGGAGTTCTGGCTCTCCTAGATCTCTCTGCTTCTGCCTCCCCAGTATGCCACTACACCCAGCTTATTTACCAGTTTTCAAGACCCCTCTATGTTTCTGTTGTTTCTTTAAAAATGAACTAAAAGACAAAAAATCAGAAATAATTTCAAATTTATACAGTTACAAAAAGTTAAAAGATCATGTCATTTGCTGCCTCTTGTGGGAGGAGGAGTTCTCTTTCTCTACAAATATACGTGTTTTCAACTCTACCTCCCTGCCCCTGAACTTTTCTCAGGCAAACATGGGTCCTGACTATTCACTTCCAAATTCCTAGGAGAGTGTATTTCCTGACCACTTAATAAACTACACTTACACTTGAGCGTATTTTTACCATCGTGCTATAACTTTAGAGGCTGGCCCTTCATAGTGCTCTTCTCTCCCTTACAGGTGCCTGTCTTGGGACAGCTGATGCACTTAGTGGTCCTTTTTTTTTTTTTTTTTTTTTTTTTGCACCCTTTGCTTTGGAAAACTTTCAGTCTTTGTCTTTTAAGTCCTTGATGGATTTGAAGGATACAGCTTCAAGCTGTATTTGAAGGGAACTGCACATTTTTTTTAGAATATCCATTGTGTTTGAGGTTTACTCACAGACTAAGATTATGCATTGTCAACAGACAACTGCACAGATTCTGTTTCTCAGAGTATCACATCTAGAACATACATGATATCCATCTACTCACTGGTGATTGTAATTTTGGTCACCTTGTCAGTGTGTGACCCAAACTTACCACTGTGTTGTTACTGTGTTTTGTTTTTCCTTTTCTAGAAATAGAAAGCAATCTGTGAGGAGCCATTTGACATTGGATCCTACTCATCAGAAGTTTCCTTCATGTTCAACATTCCTAATTACTGATACAGTTTACATGATGGATGCAAAATGACTGAACAAATCTATTAGCCTCTCCACATTTTCAGCCCACAGCATTCTCTTGTGAACAAGGCCCTTTCTGTCTTCCCTACTTACCTATTCATTATCTACATGAGTAGATCTGAATTTCTGCATTCCATTTCTGTATTTGCCTGTTCTCATTTATGACTTCCCTCTACAACTCTCTCTCTCTCTCTCTCTCTCTCTCTCTCTCTCTCTCTCTCTCTCTCTCTCTCTCTCTCGTCTCCCTCTCTCTCTTGTCTCCCTCTCCCTCTCTCTCTCTCTCTCTCTCTCACACACACACACACACACACACACACACACACACACACACACACTCTTATGCTTTTTGAGACAGAGTTTCTCTGTATAACCCCGACTGTCCTGAAACTCACTCTGTGGATCAGGCTGGCCTCGAAATCAAAGACCCGCCTGCCTCTGCCTCCTAAGTGTTGGAATTAATGGCATATGCAACAAATATTTTTTAAAATTTAGATTTTATATGTATGAGTATTTTGACTATGTGTATATATGCCCACCATGTGTGTCTGGTGCTTTTAGATGTCAGAAGATGGCATCAGATCCAATGAAACTGGAGTTAGAGATGGTTGTGAGCCACCCTATGGGTATTGGAAACTAAATCAAGGTTCTCTGCAAGAGCAGAAAGTGTTCTTAACTGTTCTGCCATCTCTCCAGCCACTCTACCTGTATTTTTGTTTGCATATTTGTGTACTAATTTTTGGAATCACTTAGGGAAGGTTAATATATCATTGCCTTTCACCTCTAATACTCAACTATGTGGTTAACTATGTAGATATTCAGATTGTCTTATGTGTAGCTAGTAGAAGAACTTCTATTTTGGCTTCTGTTAACGTTACTTCCCTCTTTTAAAAGTACTCCCTCACTTGTATAATGAGGTAGTACATATTTATCTCATACTTACCTTGTTTTAGCCCTAGAATAATCCTTTTTTTCTAAGGAGTCCATTTCCTTTTCAAAAGGCCTGTTTCCCCATTAGTGGAAAATGATATCAGGGACCAAGGTTCAGTATGCTTATTGATACTGGATTATCTGCTTCTCGGAGCTTGTAGGAGACAGAGCTGAGAAATATAATATGTACATGTATGTATTTGTGTGCATTTATGATCACAAATATTTATACACAAATCTTACAATATGCAGAGGATATAAATTTACATGATCTTAAATACAAAAGAAAGACTACTATAGTGACATTTATAACACTCTGGATAAAAGAAATGAAGTCATAGCCACATCAACAGTTCATGTAGTCTCCGTGTTCCTTTTCAGTCATTGTCTCTATATAGTGTCATATAGAGACATTATATGGTATCATAGGTCTCTTAACCTTTTTCAATTAACATATCATGAATATATGAGTTACTATATAATTTTTACAATCTTCATTTTTAGTTGCTCTGAAATATATCATTAGAATTTTCTACTCTTGAACATTTAGCTTATTTCTAGCTTTTTCTATTATGATGCCGAAGTGAACATTTTTCCAATATACCCCTTTTAATTTAATGTTTTATCAATTGTTTGAAAGATTTTGTAGAAGTAGAAATGTGATTTCTCACTGTGGATTTTCATATATCCTCATACACAATGAAACAAACATTTACCAGAATTTAAATTAGAATTGGAGATAGTTTTAAAAGCCAGTAATCTCTTTTAGTAGAGATTTAACTGAATAAATAGTGGAAGACAAAATTTTCAAACAACCATAGCATGAAAAATAAAGAGGAAGATCGTGTAATCCATGGGAATGGATGACATGGGAAGCTTTTAAAGGAGGTGTATTATGCTGTGTGTTTCAAAACACCATGGAGGAAACTTCCCAGATTGGGACTGGAATGAGTTATGTTCGTATAGAAGAGAAAGAAGAAATGGGCTATAGAAAGCATTCTAAGCAGAATCATTAGAGTGTAAGAAAGTGGACCAGTTGGGAAGAACCTGGAATTTCAGACAGATAGCTTGATAGTTTGCTGTACTGTGTAGCTTGGGTAGTTTTGAAAGCAATAAGGAAGGTCAGCCTGCTCAAATAGATAGGGTTAGACCATGAATGGCTTTATGTGCCACTTTTATATTGATGCAATTGGAAAACCTTAAACCAATTAATATGAAATTTGTATCCATGAAGGAAATAATGAGTACTTGAACTTGGGAGGGGCAGGCAATGCGGGTGAAATGAGATAGAAAAGAAAAAGGAGGCTGGACAGTGGTGGCGCACGCCTTTAATCCCAGCACTCGGGAGGCAGAGGCAGGCAGATCTCTGTGAGTTCAAGAGCAGCCTGGTCGAGAGCTAGTTCCAGGACAGCATCCACAGCCACAGAGAAACCCTGTCTCGAACCCCCCCCCCAAAAGGAATTATTTGTTCAATATACAGGTAAATATTCCTAAGGAACTACTTAGGACTTACTCTGTGCTATGTGTATTTTTGTTAGATGTTGAGAATGTTAAGGGTGAAGAAACGAACCACACCTTTTCCTCTTACTGTCTAATCTAATGAGAAAAAAAAAACAGGTATTAATGATCTTACAAATGACAACTCTCACCATTATAGGAAAGTACAGGTGCTGTGAAAACCTTATACTATTGGGGAGCTAGCACCAGACATAAACCATTTTTGGTGTTGGGGAGAAGGGGTAAAAGTGCCATAGAGTGAGTGCATTTGGAGACCAGAAGACCTCAGTTCTCTTTTTCTACCATGTGGTTTTGGTAATTGAACTTAGGCTGTTAGACTTGGCAGCAGGCACTTTATCCGCTGAGCTCTCTCCCTGGCTGATCAGTGGAGATCTAGCTAGTTCTTCCTAAGATGGGGTAGGGACGTATGGGAGAAACAGAAAGTAGCTGGACAGAAAGGGAAGAAGAACCATGCAGGCAATGAAAGAGACAGTGTGTAAGTGTTCTGAGCAGGGAAGAACGCTGTGAGGAAGCTCAGGTAAGAGAAGGTTTGGCATGGGCAACTGAGTAGTTTCCTAGTAAAATTTCAAATTTTGGACATCTTGTCTAGGGAAAAGGATCTGGGCAGACATCATACCAGAATATAATTTATTCAGCATTAAATATATTAGCAAAAGTGGGGTGGGAGTTGAAGGTGAAATAGCTAATAGTAAGTTGACTTTTGTTTTTTTAGTAAATTGAGAGAAAAATCAACTGGGTTTATTAACATCATCAAAAATGATGCCTGATAATACTGAAAAATGTTTCAGGCTACATAGTCTCTTAGACGGATGATCGGGTATGGAGGTTCTGAAGAACACTAAAGGAAAAGCTAATTGTACATATGGCAAACTGAACAAGACCTATCAGAATGTTCAAAGATGGCTGTGTCTTCACC